CCACGTTTTGCGTCCATTGCTGCAATGGAAGCGCTTCACCCCACGATGGCGTAACTGCCATACAATGAAACCACTGGAAGCGGCTCCAGTTCTGATGGAGGAGGCTTTTTGGATAGCGGAAGATAAAGTGTTTATTGTGTTATACCTTTTGACTATAGTTTTAAGATGACCAAGAATCCTCGGGTCTGTAAAGTTAATTCGGTTGAGCGTTATCAAATAAATTAATGGACAACAAAGTCGCTCTTTCTAAGTGGTCAAGATGAAGTTGCTACGACGAACGTCAGCAACTTCGGCGACGCTGCCGAAAATACCAATGCTGCGGGTGCAGCGAAAGAGTAGCTTCCCCCCCGTTGGTGGTGAAAAATGTTCACCTCAACGAACTCATTGCCGAACTGGCGGCTCTAGGAGTGAAAGCGGTACACAAGTTGGGACGAGCTGGTACCAAAGTGGTGCTTCAAACAAAAGCGGAGTACGATTTGGTCGCCGCCCACCTGAAAAATGCCAGTGGGGAATTTTTCACACATGCCATCCCTGGTGAGAGGCCAGGTTAAGGTGGTTTTCAGAGGTTTCCCAAACTACGACCCGAAGCTGATTGAGGCTGAGATTAGCCTAGGTACAAGCTGGCTCCCATCGTGGTTTTCAGAATCACGAAGAAGGACAAGACCGCGAAGGCATATGCGAACTCGATCATCGTTCGATGGGAGCCATATCGTGGCGGCCGTCGCGATGTGACCCAGTGCCAGCGAATTTTGGACACGGCACCATCAAACCACCGAATGTGCGGATGAAGCTGCGGTGTTGAAATGCGTCAATTGTGGAGGTGCGCATAAAGGAAGTGCATCAAACGCGAAGAACTTAAGCAGATCCGAAAACAGGACGAATGAAGGAGAAGTCGCCGGTGTCCGGATAGATATATTCCGCCACTCCGCCCCACGAAACGGGGTCCTGCGAATCCGTGGACCCTATTCACCCCCTGTAGAGCTTCTGCTGGACAAAGCTCTCCATCCCCCATGGATTCCGGAGTCAACCCACAGCACAAGCCAACAATCCTGATATGTTCACAGCCGATGAACTGATGGAGATTTTTGTCAACATGACCAGCGCACTTCGTAAGTGCTGCAGTAAGTCTGAACAGATCCAAGTGCTCGGTAAGTACATTATCCAGTATGACGTCTAAGCCGTTAACTATCGTCATCTGGAACCGATTTCCTCCGAAAGCACAACATCGACGTGGGGCTCCTTACCGAGACTCACCTTAAGTCCGGCGACAGCTTCTGGTTGCCTGACCACATCATCATCCGGCTTGATTGCACCAACTCCAGGGGGGTGGTGTTGCGGTCGTAATCAAAAAGGGTATCAAGTTCGTCACTCTTCCCCACTGCCGCACCACCATCATCGAAGCTCTCAGCGTGAAGGTGGAATTGCCAACGGGAATCGCCCGGTTAATCGCTGTGTACTGCCCTCGGCAGTGCACCGAAAACAACGGATTAGGAGTTAAATTTTAGAACGATCTGACCGTCATCACTCGAATTAGCTCTCGATTCGTCATTGAAGGTGATTTGGCGGAACTATCAGCGGAACCCGAACGGACGCTTGCTGTTTGATCACTCGCAGCATGGGCTGTGCACAGAGGAGTTTCCGGATGAACCAACTTTCATCTAAGGGCAGAAGCAAATTCTACCGATCAATCGCGTTCCTTCCGTTTGTGCCTTAGGCACAGACTCTTCTACTTTCTTTTGTTTATTGATTGATTTGATAAGGCTCAATCGGATTTACTATAAAGAGTCGAGGATTCTTGTTCACTACACAAAACAGCTTCAAACTATTGTCAAAAGGTACAGCACAATAAACACTTTATTTTCCGTTAGCCAATAAGCCTCATCCATCAGAACTGGAGCCGCTTCCAGTGGTTTCATTGTATGGCAGTATCACCAACGGGGGGCAGAGCGCTTCCATTGCAGCAATGGACAGGCATGGAAAATCATTTACATTCATTTCATGCATTCATTTACATTCATTTGCTTCTAACTTTTGCCATCAACAGCATTCCGCAAAATGATGTAAAGAGCTTTAGTAGGTTTTGTTATTAGCTGCAACTTTTGCTCAAAACTCAAATCTGTATCCCTTATGCATCACGAATTAGAGCGAGCAGAGCTTGTTACTGTTTTTCAGTGAATGTAAAATACATTCACTGAAAAACAGTAGTGGATTATGTTAGCTCTGGTTCGTCGTGCATAAGAGATACGGATTTGAGTTGTTAACAAAAGTTGTAGCTAATAACAAAACCTACAATAGCTCCATACATTATTTTGCGAAATGCTATTGATAAAAAAAAGTTAGGGGCAAATGAATGTAAATGAATGCACGAAATTAATGCAAATGATTTTCCATGCCTGGCAATGGATGCAAAACGTGGTCATCACTCATAAACTCATCACGAAACGGTTGCTTTCTAAAGTCGACGAAGCTTCGAGCGAAAGAACTGCTGATGAAGAACAATGAGGAGTACAACAGACGATCACGTGACACTCGTCGAGAGTGGTCTGCCTCTGTCGACAGCCGAGTGAACACTGAACCCCTTTATGACAACCTAAACTTTTCCAGTTGAATTAATGTATAGGAATGATGAGATAAATGTCAATCATTGTGAAGCCATTTTAAAATCTTTTAATTTTTTTGATTTAGTATTGTAAAAGTAAAATTAACACTTGTATAACTTTTAAACATCAAAGCCAAGAATTATCATCTTGGAGGATGAACAAATTTGGGAAGTAGCTCGAAAACATTTACAGAGCTCTTTTAAAACACGGGAGGTTTTCTGCATCACTTATAACCCAACCCAAGTAACAATTTGGGTTTTATGAGGGTTCTGTAGACCATGACTTAGACTTGAAGAATTCTATAAAACCTCAATAAAACTTGGGAAGTAACGTTTTAAGTTTTATTAAATACTACAAAGCTACAATAAAACAACATTCATAAAATCCTGGTCAAGGCTGTTTTGCCATTGATGCATCTACCAAAACTTCATTAAGACTAGAATCGGTCTAGTTGGCCCAGCCTGTAGAAGGTTCTGAAAGATGTATTCTCGGAGCTCTTCAAGATTGATTTACTGCAAGAAGGTTCAATGACGAACGCATTGAGAACCATTTGAATACCGTATAGAAGCTGTTTGGCAACAATAAAACCCGTTCTTGAGCCGTTTTCCCTAGCCGCTTGCTAAATCCACAAGAAAAGCATCAATCAAGACAGAAAAGAGTTCATAATTACCATCCGATCTTATCAAAATAACTAACATAAAAACTGAACGTATCAAAATTTTGTTGAATTACCAAAAATATTTAAGCAGTTCTCATAAAGTGACCCAGTTTTAGGTACCATATTAAATCTTATGTGAAATGTACGTGATAACACCGAAAAAAAATTAGTCCGCCCTCCGAAAACGTCGATTTTACTAATTATTTTAAATTTCAGTAAAAACAAAATTATACTTAAGATCGATCATCAAGCCTAGCCAAGAATTTGTTTAAAGAGGAGGCATAAAAGTTGATTTTCATGGACCATTTGTGAAAAAGTTGTTTTGCTTTCAAGAAATCGTTAAAAAATTCAAAAGGTTTTAAAAAGGCTTATATGGAGAAAACTTGCAGACTGAATTGTATTTATCTAAAACCATTTTGCTTGATCCTAACCCATTCAGATTTATGGCAGCATTTATGGAGGCAAAGCTGCCGGCAAAAATTTAAACGTCAAAGTTTGTTATCTTTCTATAGTTGCACTGTGCGATCCAGCGTTCTTCCAAGCAATGGATTGGAAGCAGTTAAGCTGACAGGGCAAGTGAATTGATCAACTGACTGGAACGCGAATTAAATGTGTAAACCATACCATTCAACTGACTTGATCAACTCACTTGAATTGAAAAAGTTGAACCAGGTTCAACTTTTCAAGCCACTTCAATTCAACTGAGTTTATCATTTGACTTGCCTAGTCTAAACCCAGCTTTACTCAGAAATGGTGCGATACTGTTGTATTATATTTAGCATTTCGAACAGCTTGTTCGCGAAGAAGATCCCCTTCTTCCGGATGGTTCCCAAAAATCACCATCAAACGACGCAGGAATGTACGCTTGAATTAAATGTTTGATGAGTTGACCCTTTTGCCGAATAAAATCGCTGCCAGTTGGTAGTTTGCTGTCGGTACTGATCCAAGTAATTCCGATCGTCACCTATTGGTACCGGTTCAGCCGGACGCGCTGGTTCTTCTAAACAAGTAAATTTGGATGAAATCGACTTCCCTTCGATCGTTGGAATCGCTTGAGTTTGTCATCCTACTTCTTCTTTTCCTTCGAGATTTCCTTGTCATAAATGTTGGGTTTATTCACTATGGGGATCCAAATCTTTTAAGTTCAATTTGTAAACAGAGTAATTGTGGATTTTATGATACACAAAAAGACTAAACAGCATTAAAATGTGCTTTTTGCTCTCACTTAAAACCAAATGATTTTATGATTGCTTTTATAATGATAGAACATCTTTAAACAGTATTTGATCAAGACATTAATAAGCAATTGCTGCAGAAGTTTATGAATGAATTACAGAAGAGTTTTATGAAGGGATTGAGAACTGCTTTAAATTTAACTTTTATCGTCGACTTTTTTCACCAGACTATAAAAGGTTTTTGAAACAGCGAAAAGCTGAATTACAAAACAGCAATGTTTTACACTTTGAAATGCTGTTTTTAAACTAAATGGATTGTTCGTTGCCTTTATAAAACCATCATAAATTAGAGTGGATGCCAAATGGTTGGTGAAATTATAGAACATGCTTACATGGCCTACAAGAAATTTAACACTTTTTTAAAAAAAATGAAGCACCCTTTCGATCACCACCAGTCGGAAGAATATGAACTTTCCAGATGTAACTCGTTAAATCAAATCAATCATTCTAAAACCCCAAAAAACCTTAATTTAACTAACCATCTCTATTCTCCTTCCCTCTTTCCAGATCTGTCCGGCAAATACGGCAAACGCCAGTGTTAAGGCAAGACGCGACTTTCGAAACGGAAGTCTTCCATAAAATTACCGCGGAGAATTTGATTCTCCCATCGGCAACAACACTTTCAACATCGTAGCTCATTTCAATTTGGACCAGTTTAACTTTTTGAGAAGCACACATCCACCCCGCCCCCTTGTACATTATATACACTTCGATAATGTTATACGCAAAACAAAACAGAAAAGATTAAGTGCGAAAAGAAACCCCCCCCCCCCCCCTATCCCTCCCGGACGCTTTGAACGCCGCCAGCAAAGAACCGTCGAGGGAACCACCAATCAGCAAAAGTAATAAAGAAAAGATAAACGTGAACAAAAAAAAAACACAAACATTCTTGTGATATACCTTCTAAAACCAGTACGGTTTTTGGGCGACACTGTTGGTGCCAGCAACAACGGCGACTCGGTGAAGTGAAGATCCCCCACTTTTATTGTTGTATTAATTTATAGCAAATTTTGTTGATTAAAACCGAAATTTTAACTTTTATTTGAGTAGTTTTTAAGGTTCCACACAGAAGACGCAGAAAAGGCCTTTTCTCATTGGGTAGAGTTTTATTCCTAGAGTTTCTGTTTTTGAACAGCGATCGAATTAGGCGACGGCCGAGTCCGCCGCGAGAAGAAAAAAAAAGGAAAACCCGATTTTCGCTTTCATTAGCTATTTCTTTTCTTTTTTGTTTCAGCTACTCAATCAAAGAAAGAGGGAAAGAAAAGAAAAATTCATAGTGATCTCATAATTTTATTGATAATTGTTTTTTTATTAGAAAGAGAGAGGAAATAACAAATAGATATTAGATAATCGAAAAAAAAAACAAAACAAAAATGAACCAATCAATTGAAGATTTGCTCAGTACAAAGCTTTCTACGCGAACCTTGACGGTCGAATCTGCGCCCGTACTTTTTTTTTTTTGTAATGCAGGTCCACTTCAATGGTCATTCTTCATAATGTCGAGTTCAAAATTTACCCAACTAATTCCCGAAAACGCAAAAAAAAACGTACCCACACACACACACACACACACTCACTACTTGCTTGAATTTTGTAGGTTAATCTATAATACTGCTTTTTTTTTAGGAAGAGATCTTCATTGCCATGAGCAAAGTGAAACGTCCGGTTCATTTATCATTCTTATTGATTTAGGTTTACTGTGTAAGGTGAACTGTATAGAGAGTAGAGAAGTGCAGAAGTGATGTCAGGTTTTGAGATTGAGCACACATGTAAGTTTGAACGGAACCATCTTAAACTCTACGATTAGATACCATTTAGCAATGTGTTTTTTTTTTTCTTTTTACGATGAGCAACAGAGAATGCTGCAACTTCAATTGATCTTTTTGCAATAAATAGCAATAATAATGAAAAATCACGGTCGTTTGATTTCAGTGTGTATCCGAAAGTGAAACCCGCCTGTCTCTTATGGGGCCAATAGAGCACAGTTCTACACGCCAAATGACGAATCGATCTGATGTGACCTTCTCCTATTTGCATGAAACTTGGCGTAATTGCATTCAAAGTGATTTTTGTAACTTTAATGCGGTAATTGATTGGCTAGAGAAAGTTCTGAAGAGGGTAGGTTGATAGTTCCGCTAGAGTACGGCCGTACGGCTGTGTGAAAAGTGAACACAAGGGCCATTTATGCGACAATAAGTAAGTGATGTGACCGTTTCTTTGCATCTTGATGCTTAGAACTCTTTAATATAAAGGATCTTGGGATTGAACCCATGATCTTCTGCTCATTTATGACAAACGGTTGCTGCATCACCGAGCTCCTTATATCACAAAAACAATCCAGTTATTGTTAATGCCATTCAATTCCGGTGGTGGCTTTAACGGTGACGCAAACGAAACTGCAGCAAAAAAGCTATTCCGAAGTCTGGAAGGATTCAATCACTTCATTCGACCAACACACCTCCCGTGAATACAATTTCTCCTGCGTATCAATTCCGGCCGAATTCTATTACGTGTTTACGGGTGAATGCCGATAAGCGGTGTTCAGTTCAACTACATGAAATCGACATACATGAAACAGCCAGAACGAGTCTAAGATAAAATATCACACTCAGCTTACCTCTAACATTAAACAAAATGAAAAAAGGGGCTGTAAGATCGCAACATATTCAAATTTGGCTTTAAATCAGAGCTAAAGGCGGACTAAAAGAAAATGGGTACACCCCTCGCGCGCCTCTAGTGTTAGGAATCGAAAATCTTGCACAGTGGTTTGTGTACACTTCTATCGAGAACAACTGGTGCAAGTTTGATCAAAGTAGCCGATTGCGTTCAGAAATGGAACTCGAAAGAAGAAAATATATTGTTCACAAATACCTGGAAAATCTGGAGTGGTCCGGTTCCAAGCTGCCTAAAGAGCTGAAAATGCCGAAAACAACAGTTTGTCGAGTGCTCAAAACCTACAAGGAAACCCTGAGTGTGGAAAGGAATCAGCGATCATCAGGGATCGTCAGCTGCGCAGCAAAGTGTTGAGGTGCGTTGAAGCCAGTCCCGGTCCTTCCATCCGAGTTGTGACCAGAAGGTACAACGCCAACTAACTAACGGTGCGGAACACCCTTTCCAGAGAAGGATGCAAGTCGTATAAAGCCAGTAAACATTCGAACCGGCAGATGAAGCAGAACACAAGGGCTGCACGTTGATCGATGACGAAACATACGTCAAACTCGATTTTAAGCAGCTCCCCGGTCAAAAGTTTTTCATCGCGACCGGACGTGGGGATGTGCCGGGAATATTCAAGTTCGTGTTTGCCAACAAGTTCGCGAAGAAGGCCATGATTTGGCAAACGATTTGCAGTTGTGGCCTAGAAACGGAACCATTCGTCACATCCTCGACGATGACATCCCAAGTTTACATAGAAGAATGGCTGAAAAAGCGTGTATTGTCGTTCATCCGCAAGCATAGCGGCAAAGTCTAGACCAACAATTGAAACAGGCGGAACAATCAAACGTAAACAATGGGTTTAAAGGCAAATTTCTCGAGAATCAAACCACATCCACGCAATCTAACCCCAGCATCTGATAGAGCAAACTTGCTTTATCGAATGGCACTGTTAGTTTGCGTGGGATTCTCGAGAAATTTATGTTTAAAGCCATTGTTTACGTTTGGTTGTTCCGCCTATTTCAATTGTCCGTCTAGAAGTCATCTTTTGGCCCAATTTAGCCAGCGGCCACTACTCCAAGGTGGTTCTGGAGTGGTATTTTTTTTTTAAGCTTTATTAAAGAGATTTTTAGCCTTAGGCTAGTTCATCTCTAAGGAGTGGTATGCTGCCAACAAGAGCGATTTTGTCCCCAAGCTAATGAATCCTCCGAATTGCCCGGAATTTCGATCAATCGAAAAATACTGGGCAATTTCAAATCAGCGACTTCGACGAAGCGGCAGGGCAGTCAAGGACATCCAGAAAATGCGGCCAAAATGGAAAAAAATGTGCTGATTCCGTGTCCGTTTCCACTGTGCTGATGGGCTCCATCAAGAGGAAGGTTCGAGATTTCGTTCAAACTGGAGAAATGTAACCATCTAATTGTAGCTTTGAAGTTTTATTAAAAGTACTGTAAAGCAACCCGCAATGGATTTTTTTAACTTATTTAATCACGAGATACAGGTATTTTTGTGCATACCAATTTATTTTTAGTCAGCCTTTAGAAAAAAAAAACCTGTATTCACAATCGAAGCTGAATCGAAATCCCCCACGTGCCCACACAATCACAACACACCACTTGTGATCGAGTTGTTATAAAATTAATTAAACCCGGCGGCGACGACGATGAACTGCCACGCAAAATAAAGAATCAGTAGAAAAACGGTAGTAAAGAAGTCATTCTCATGGAATGAGCTTCTCAGAAAAAATCAAAATGATTTCCGATTCTGACCGAGATCACGAACACGTCCCATTTCACCGCCGATATCACTAGTAGGGGAAAGTGAGGCAGTTTGGCCACCTTAAGAAAATCATCACTAATCATACAAAATTCGAATGATGTTTAACCAAATGGATAGTTGCAAGCCCTATTTACATCATGAATACAAATTGAATATTACGAGTAGACTTTTGAATCTTATGCAAGAAGAGCATGAGCATGAGCATGAGCATTGACGACCATACATTTCAGTAGTTGCTACTCCGTGATTGACCAGATTTAGCGAAATTTGCTCAAAGAAGCATATGAATGGGGCTTGGGACTAGCAATCCATTCTCAGTGTACAAAATCCGGAGAATCTGATCGGTGTTGACACGCTTGGCATAGATGACCCACAGCTACTCACGAGGAAACTGATTTCGATCCAGCGGCTTCTTCCTCCTTCTATGGGTGCTCATGCGGGCTCTGCAGCTCACTGCTTGCAGGCTGCCTTTCGTGGTGTGCTGGAGAAGAATGTTAACGCCACACGCTGAAAGCACTGTTGCTGCTGATGCTGCTGATGCTGCTGCTGCCGACGTTGACGACCGGATACCACCACACACGGTGATTGAATGAGCACCCCAAGTAACCATAGGCACGCTATTTCGCCTTTCCGGCTATATACAGCTGAACAACGGCTATTCCAGTGTTTGCAAGTTCTGATGAGACCCGTATATAGCCAAAACCGCGAAATAACGTGCCTATGGTTACTTGGGACCGTTCAGTGACACAGGATCGAATTCGATTTTTAAATCTGTGTTAGGGAATACGCTGTTTGCAGGTAATCGGTGATAATTTTGATCACCATTGCAACAGTTGGACATTTGTGTATTTTTCAATAGTGACCTATTGAAAATTAATAAAGTGTTCAATTTAGTCGATAAATTCCCAATTCATTGGCTTGTTTAGAATTAAAATTCATCTGCTATTGACAGAGCTATATGTGGTCACAACCTGACCTATTTTCGTAATGCGGTCGATTTTGGTTTTTTTGAAATTGCACTCCCAATATGTTGCCGAAAAACGTAATCCTACGCCAAAAAAGTTGCTCTATAGCCACCATGCCCCTTACATTACCACAATCTACGACCGACTCAACAAAAAGTTATTCAAATGAACGTCTATGAAAGCAGTCAACAATGTCTTCCAAACTGGATCACGTATACACCCTTTCCGAAATTTATGGTTTAACTATTTAACTTTTGGTTATTAACTGCGCTTTATGCTCTCGGTACCCAACGATGGTGGTTTATTCTGTTGTGGGAGAGCTTGGGATTAAACCCATGATATTCTCCTCATTAAGCAAAACCGATTCCTCCAGGGTTATCGAGCATCTCACAACCACAACACTCCACGACAAAATATTATTAAGTTTTCCCTTGGTATGTAATACACAACAAAAATACGCGATAATTCATATAGGTTTATTT